GCTTGTCTGTGCTACCAACCTTTTAACCACTTGCCCTCCAAAGGATTTACCCCCGTTCCTGACCAGGCCATTTTTTGCAATACAGAGCTGCGTTACTTTAACTGACAATTGCGTGGTCGTGCAACGCTGCACCCAAATGAAATTTTATGTCTTTTTATTTTTTCCCCACAAATGGAGCTTTCTTTCGGTGGTATTTGATCACCTGTGTTTTTTTTATTTTTTGAACTATAAACAAAAAAAGACTGACCATTTTGAGGAAAAAAAAAAACTATATTTTTTACTTTTTGCTATTAAACATGTCCAGTAAAAAAAAATTATAATTTCGCCATAAATTTAGGCCAAAATGTATTCTGCTACATGTCTTTGCTAAAAAGAGAAGAACAAAATATGCTTTAATTGGTTAACGTGAAAGGTGTGTGTGTGTGTGTTGGATTTTTTATTTATTTATATATAATTTTTTTTACATTGCCACCAGTGCAGTACAGCGTCATCCTATAACTGGCATGGCGGTGATCAGGGACACTGGTGACAGTACAGAAAAAAAAAATTGATATTTATTAAATTTTTTTCTCTTTTTAAGATTTTTTTTTTTTTTTCTCATATTACACTGACTAAACTAGTATAATGTTACCATAGTAACATTGTACTACTTTGGGAAAGGGATCAGTATTTTATTTTTTTTATACACAATTTGATTGCTTATAGCAAAGAATTTCTTTGCTATCAGCAAGCATTTAACTGAATCAGTTGGATTTGTTCAGGTTTTTTTTGTTGTGGTTAGCTGTGATTGGCCATGGCTAATCACATGACACAGATGGGCTCTAATTGGCCCAGCCTGTGCATGTGATCACTGTGACCATTCGCAGCTAGACACACTTGTATACAATGGATGGCATGAAAGGAAGCCATCCATTGTATACAACTGTCATGTGGCCTGCTGTTATTGGTCACAGCAGGTCACATGGTACTGGCAACGGGGCCGAGGTATACAGCTGGTGACAGATCATGCCACAGCGCAGCTCTGCGGGCACGTGCAAAGCGCGATCCAGGAGGGGCGAGAGGCTATACTTTCATTTACTATAGGCCGGGCGGGAAGTGGTTAATCACTTGACAACCGGGCTATAGCCGAATGGCGGCTACAACGCGGTTGTCTAGTTCTGGGAGGGCGTCATATGTGTCCTACGGACACAGCGATCACGTGATGTGGTAAAAGGCCAATCACAGCGGCCTTTTACCACGTTATCAGCTATGTTCAATCACACAGCAGATCATCGGGTAAATGCAGTTGTCGGCTGCACTTTTCTCACTCTGTCACAGCGGGAGGAAAGTACTGTCGATAATGGCAATTGTCAGAAAATCAGCACTAATCAACAGGGCACTGATGATCCGTGCCACCCACCTGTGCCCCCCATCAGTGCCGCCTAATTCATGCACATCAGTGAAGGAGAAAAGTTACCTGTTTGCAAAATTTTATAATACAAAGAAACTTTTTTTGCAAATGTTTTGCTCTTTTTTTTGTTTATAGCACAAAAAATAAAACTCACAATGGTAATTAAATACCACCAAAAGAAAGCTCTATTTGTGTGAAAACAAGCATAAAAATGTCATATGGGTACAGTGTTGCATGACTGCACAATTGTTATTCAAAGTGTGACAGCGCTGAAAGCTGAAAAATGGCCTGGGCAGGAAGGAGGTAGAAGTGCCCGGTAGGCAAGTGGTTAATGATTAACTGCATACTTTTAGTGTATTTTTAATTTTTTGTTTTGACCAAGCTGGTCCAAACAAACTATTTCCTTCATTGACATATGTAGTGGCTCTGTATTTTGGCAGCAGGATTGGACTTCCTGTCCTGTTGTGGGAACAAAATCGAGTCAGGCTAAGCGCTGGCCAGCCATTCACTGGAAATATTGTATTTTCTGAATGACTACAAGGCTTCTTCTGATTGGCTGAGGAGGTGCAGCAGGCAGGTGATGTCATGATCTCCACCTCAGTCTCTTAGAGGAAACTTTGTGTTCATGCTGGAGCAGAGAGCTTTTATACTGTATGTAGCTGATGCTACATACAGTTCAGAGCTTGATAGCAGCTGCATGTGTTGGTGAAGGTTATAGTTATTATGGATAAAACATGGAGCTTTAAAGTGTAACTTAACCCCTTGACGCCGACGGCACACAAATATGCGGCCTCACGGAACTGGGCTTTTTTCCGTGGGGCCACATATTTGCGTACCTGTCTTTGTGCAGGAAGCGCGCCGCCCTGCGCGCTCCCAGCACAGAGACCGCAGTGCCACTGAGAGCCTCTGGTCCCGTTCTAACAATCGGGACCCAGGACTCCCGATTCCAGGTCACGTGATCGCTGTGATAGCCTCTGATTGGCGATCACAGTGATCAGTCGCTGTGCAGCTCGGCCCCCTTGTTTTTTCTCTCTATGAATGGAGAAGAGAGATACATTGTATCTCTCTAACTCCTGGCATAAAGAGAAAAAAAATGTGTACAAAGAAAAATGCCTAGATCAAGGTTTGATCTAGTTCCGTGCCAGGGTTAGTGTTTGGGTCAGGGTCAAAGGTCAGGATTAAAAAAAAAAAAAATTGGTGTCAGTTAGTGTTGATGTCAGTCTCAATGTGTTTTAGGTAAAAATAAAAAAAAAACAAAATGCGCACTATTGTTTCTGGGCTGTACTACGGGTACAAACAACAAATAACATGCACATATATGGTATCGCTGCAATCGTCAAGAGCTGGAGAATTTATTTTGGGTTGTTCTTTGGTGGTAGGTTATGGTCGTAACAAGAAACACACAGCTTAAAAAAAAAAAAAAGATTTTTGTTTACTATTTTGGGCCAGTTTTCCTTTGATTAAAAAAGATTAGAAGCTATCCATTACCATTTACCACCAAATGAAAGCCCAATTTGTCCTGAAACAAATCAAGGGATAATCCACCTGGATGTACAAAGTAGTTGTGATGATATGCACGGTTTTACTATCACATGTCAACGTTACAGAATTGTGCTTTGTTATTTAGATAACAAGGTAACAAGTTAAAAATGGGCAGACATGCAGGTTTGTTTTAATGCAGAAGAGACATGCTTTGTCTTTTCTGCAATAAATCTACCTCCTGCTTGTTCACCCTTGTGCAATGACCCACGCAGGTGCAGCTGTACAATTTCAGCAACGTTATCCCCGCTTTGCCAGGCGGGGAGCTCCGGGACAGCATCACGTGATCAGAGACGAGTATAGTTACGCTTTTAGCTTTACATAGTATATTATTTCCTCCTATGCAGTGGGCTATTTTGAGTGTTTTCAGTTTAGTAGCAAATAGAGGGAAAAAGACCAAGAGAAATGTGCCTTCTACTTTTACTGTATTCGTGTATTACTGTTTATTAATGTGTTCCATGAAAATATTGGCTAAGCAAATCTTCCATGTTCACCTAGGGATTTGAAGCTGGACAATCTCCTTTTGGATACAGAAGGATTTGTAAAAATTGCTGACTTTGGTCTTTGCAAAGAAGGTAATGTGCACATGTTTTCATAGATTTAACCAGTAACTTAATTGAAGCTGCCCAGAAATGAGATGATAGTCCAAAGATTCTGCTTTTAAAAGTTGTCACTTACTTTATTTGTTGGCTTTTTTTCTGGTGACCCTCACAAGTGCCCTAACCAGTGAGCCCAGCCCTGAACACTGAGGCCATCTCACTCAGGGTACACACACTCTGCATATATTAACCCTCAGGGATGTGGATTGTACATGATGATTCGGCTGATGTGCTACCAGGATTAGAAAGTGTATATTCTAGATGAAAATGCTTTCTAAACTACATGATATGCTGAATGGCTTCTGCACATTATTAAACAAAAATGGTAGATCATAAAATCACTCCTTACAGTGCTTGAAAGCCTCTAAAGTGCATGTCCAACCCAGACTTTATTTTTTTGACATTAGTGTGTGACATTAGTTTCACCAGATGGGAAGTGAAGGAAAATCTCCAGCAGCAGCACAGACAAATTTTTTTTTTTTTTTTTTGTTTATTAAAATGACAAACGTTTTTGTCAGATGAAAGTATCTTCACCTTTGCAACACATGCTCTATTCAAAATTAAAGAAAAAAGTGTGGATTGGAGATCCCTGCTTAGCTACTCTTCTGTTACATCTATTTGCTGTGCCATTAAGTATTAAAGAATTGCTTGACTGTGCCCTCTCTCTCTGTCTCTCCTATCCAGGAATGGGTTTTGGAGATAGAACTAGCACTTTCTGTGGCACCCCAGAATTTCTGGCTCCAGAAGTCCTCACAGAAACCTCTTACACTAGAGCAGTGGACTGGTGGGGACTGGGAGTCCTTATTTATGAGATGCTTGTTGGTGAGGTATGTATATATGTAGAGTAAGCTGTATAGGACCACGCACCTAAAGATGCAATTGTTTACCTTCACTTTCATATTTTGAGGAGTACATTTTAACTGGTTATAAAAGTCTATGGCTTATTAAAAGGTCCCAAGAGGCCATTGCAGCTTTAGAGACTGCATGCGGATCTTCAGGATGTGCTCTAATATTTGCAGTTTTATTTATTAAAGAGCTATGTGGTGGGGCATCTGCACTATCGCAATACATTGACCTTTCTGTTTAATTGTGCCTTTTGATGACTTAAGCACATTAGTCATTGTTTTTCATTTTAGCTTTAATATTTTATTTATGGTTTTGTGCATGCTTACAATGAGCAAGATGGATGCATCCCCTAAGTGCTTATCATACTAGTGATCTGATGGCATTCACATATGGGCTGCTATTTATCAGCCTGGCTAGTTTGTGTGTGTAAAAAAAAAAAAAATAAAGTCCAACTGCTGTCCTAAAGTAATTTTTAGTACGTGGACATTGTACTTGTTGCTTTACATAACCAAGACTGAGCTAATATATGTTTTGTTTTGACCAGTCCCCATTTCCTGGAGATGATGAAGAGGAAGTATTTGACAGCATAGTCAATGATGAAGTCAGGTATCCACGGTTCCTGTCCACAGAAGCCATTTCTATCATGAGAAGAGTAAGTTGCCATTGAAACGTCATTGCCTTTAGCCAGATTTCGTTCTGAAATTTCCCCCTTATTGTAGCCCTGTTCCTCCTGATCACTTTTGTGTGTTTATCATTTATTTTGAGTAGCTTTTCACTGAGAGGATAAAGACTATTTTTTTCTGTGGCATTTTTTTGTTCTAAACATAGTCTTCACCCACCTCTGATCCATTGTGTATATAGACAGTAATAAATATGGTTAACTCTTGCATTGCATTAACATGTACATTACTTTTCTGATTGCATACGCTAACCATCTGCTGGGTTATAAAATATTTGATTCCCCTTGTTCAATGCACATTTGTACTGGGAGAGGATAAAGGTGTCCTTGTAATTAGTATTCGTATAAGGATAGGGTTTGCAGTCACTGTGCTGTCTGTATAGGTTTACTACATTTCTCTTTTGCAGCTATTGAGAAGAAATCCAGAGCGCCGCCTAGGGGCAAGTGAAAAGGATGCAGAAGATGTAAAAAAGCATCCGTTCTTCAGAGTAAGTACTTTTAAAGTGGCTGAGTAAAATTTGACATAACAAATTTATGAAAAGCCTAGTAACCTACCAGTGTGGTCCTTGAACAAGTCTGGATTTTCAAGAGAAAACCTGCACAGACAAACAAGCAAAAGCACAAGTAGCAGAAACGATTAGAGCGGGTTTTGAATTAAAGTATACTGGAGCCATGTGGTAGATTAGTCAGTAGGTCACAGACTATAAACAGAAACCGGCTTTTGTGGAAAAACAGGAGGCCCTGCTTCTTGAAGATGTTTTTATGCAGTTTTTTTTTTTTTTTTAACACCAAAATAGCGATTTGATTACCAAGTCAATCACACCTTTGGGAGGTTTGCCTTTTGAGGTATCTGCAGGAGATGTGAGAAAGTTTGTCATGTGTAAATGACAGGAAAGATGTAGGACCTGATATTTCAGGCAGTATTAAAAGAACGATACCTTTCAGTTGGCTGACTTCTTTGCAGATCTATCATCTCCCGTAGGCAGGAGGTTTTCCCCATATGTCGGCTATTGTCCCAATTCCAAATAAATCTACCTTCTCTTGATTAAATTCCCTGTGGCTCTTACTCCCAGTTTGATGAAGAAGGTGGTCCTTGTGTGTATTAAAAATGTGTCCCTGTGGGATTAGACAAATATCAGTTTTCTTTCAGGGTTAATAGGTCGACCAAGGATGCTATTGCTTAAGTTTTACACTCATTTTTCACCCTTTTAGAGGGTAAGATCAGTTGTGTTTGAATGCTTTTTATGAACGTTATTGATGAGCTTAGATTACTGAACCTAAGGCCTGCTTTCTGTAGCTGGGATCTAGATTTTCTCACTAACAGGCTCAAGAAATTGAAAATCTGAGATTAATGCTGATAGTGGCTAAATGGTTGGCACTTCTGCCTAGCAGCGCTAAGGTCGTTGGTTCAAATGGCACTACCTGCCTGGAGTTTGCATGTTCTCCCTGTGCCTGCGTGGGTTTCCTCAGGTTTCCTCCCATGCTCCAAAGACATGCTGGTAGGTTGATTGGCTCCTGTCCAAATTGGCCCTAGTATTCTTATGTATGAATGTGAGTTGGGGACCTTGGATTGTTAGCTCCTTGAGGGTTAGGGACTGAGGTGAATGTACAATATATATGTAAAGGGCTGCATAAATTGATGGTGCTATGCAAGTACCTGTAATAAATAATGCTCATGATTGGCTTTAATACAGGTGTTCTGCAAGGGTTCATATTGTGTCCTGTTTTATTCAGCTTGTATACGTATGGCTGTGTTTCCAAAAGTGGGGGGAAAGCGGTTATAAAATTTGCAGACAATACTACTATTGGTAGAAAAAGGGATAATGATGAGGTTGCTTTTCAAGCACAAATAAAGGGAACTGGTAATCTAGCACAGGGAAATAACTTGGAGCTCAATGTGAGTAGAATTAAATAGTTGAAAGACTTTAGGAAAGAGTGATGCCTATGCTAATATAAACGGGGTGCAAGTAGAACAGGTACATGAATCTCATGCTTTTAGGTGATGTGCCAGCAATTACAGGTGATATGCCACAATCCCTGCATATATCTTCTCTGGAAACTGAAGAGGGCAGAGTTTTGTAAACTCGTCTCTTTTTATACAGGTGCCAGGGAGAGTGTTTTGACTTAACATGTTACATTACGGCAGGGTATATGTAGAGCCCAGGATATGAGTTTTACAGAGGGTGCTCAAAACTGCTCAGAAAATGTGTAGATCTGCCCAGTGCATGAGGAGCTTGGGGAGAAGACTTTGCTGGGGCTTTTTTGACAGCTCTGACTATGCTGAGGCTTTTTGACAGCTCTGACTATGCTGAGGCTTTTTGACAGCTCTGACTATGCTGAGGCTTTTTGACAGCTCTGACTATGCTGAGGCTTTTTGACAGCTCTGACTATGCTGGGGCTTTTTGACAGCTCTGACTATGCTGAGGCTTTTTGACAGCTCTGACTATGCTGAGGCTTTTTGACAGCTCTGACTGTGCTGGGGCTTTTTGACAGCTCTGACTGTGCTGGGGCTTTTTGACAGCTCTGACTATGCTGGGGCTTTTTGACAGCTCTGACTGTGCTGGGGCTTTTTGACAGCTCTGACTGTGCTGGGGCTTTTTGACATCACATGCATTGTGTTAAAGCCCAATTAAACTGTGTTTAAAATTACTTAAACTGTTCAAAGTTAAAAAAAAAAAAAAAAAAAAAAATCATTTTCAATGGGCCTATCATTTAAAAATTCTGGCCTGCCTTCACCAAACCATATTGGTAAATTTATGTTTGTCTCTTTTGCAGCACATAGACTGGCATGCATTGTTGGCAAAGAAGGTGAAGCCTCCATTTGTACCTACAATTAAAGGACGGGAAGATGTGAGCAATTTTGATGATGAATTTACCTCCGAAGCCCCCATCCTCACACCTCCCCGAGAGCCACGGTTACTAACAGAGGAGGAGCAAGAAGCATTCAGAGATTTTGACTATATTGCGGATTGGTGTTGAGAGCAAGGACACTGTGAAACTGGAGAGAACTGGCTAACAAGATGACAAAATAAAAACTCACCGCTTGTGCCATCTTCAGTTCCAGAATTATTTTATTTTTAAGTCACATGAAGATTCTTTTAAAAGTACTTTTCATTTTATAAATATATATAAAAAATGTGTGTATATAAACTCTGCGGAAGAGTGGCCACTTTCAGCGTACGCCCATTTTTTTTTTTTTTTTTTTTTTTTTTTTAAACTAGCACTGGAGCAACTTTACACCTGGTCCTCTGAGCAGGAGAACTTGGCCTGTGATACTTACATATCTGTCCCCACCATCTTTTGTTTTGTCTCCTTACATGCAGAGAATAGAACTTTGGAAAAAAAATGCTTTAAATTTTAACGCTAATTATTTGGGCAGCTGATTGCAATAAGCAGGTTAATTCCTGAGACATGTTTATGTATTTGTGACGATCTTAATATTATTCACCTTCCAGGTACCCGTTAGAGGTTTTGGTTTTAAATGTACAAAGCGGAGTCAAAAAAGTTAAAATCTTTTGTATGAGGGAGCATTGTAAGGTGGCATTTTTCTGGAGTTTTTTTTTTTTTTTTTTTTCTCCATAGTTTGATGAAAATGTTTTGTTCTTGGAGTTTTGCTCAAATGTGAGACTTATGTTTTGGTTTAGTGAAGTTAAAGTGTATGTAAATGCAAAAACCACCCTCCCTATTTTTTTTCTAGTTTTGGTTATGGTAGGAAAGTTTAAACCAGCTGCAAGAAGAGCGTGAGATTCCTCCAGCTGGGATAGGGAAATATATTCCGATGACACCTGGTTAAGATGGGAATTACCTCACTTGAGTCAATTCTTCCCATTGGTACAGACAGTAATAATAAGCTGGAGGGTTTTAACTCTTCTCTGATTTGTCCAAAACTAAAAAGAAACGTGGGCTTTACATACACTTTACAACCGTGAATATGTAGATCATAGTTACCTGGATTCAGTAACTACTGAAGTGCATGCACAGTTAATGGTTTTAGTCTTCATATCCTTTTGAACATTCGGCACAGACTATTCACAGTGCCTCAGAGGCTCTTGTGTCAGTCAGTGGCATTAGTTTGGGCCTATGATTTAAGCGATTCCACAGACACCAGATTTGACAAGTAACACAGCTACTTGCCGATACCTTGTGGTGCCTGCGCTTTAGTGGTGGTGTTACTTTTGTTACATTTTAGGTAATGTCTGGTTCACTTTGAGTGTATACAAAACTGGTTTCAGCTGGTAATGTAAATTTAGTATACACTAAAATTTCCACAAAGAGCTAGAATGTTTTTCCTTTTATACAAATTATCTAGCCGCTTTCCCTGTAACCCCCCCCCCAAACCAGCCAGCTAACACTACTTTACCAGGATCACTGCTTTTGAAAGTATCCCATCCAGGCATTGCAGTGAGGCCCAGCATACTGTAAGTGTCAAATGCTTGTGTAGTCCAGGGGGTTGCAGAGGAGGAGGCTTTCTCCTGGCTGCCTTCTCTAGAGCTCTCTCAACCCCAAGCTCCAGTCTGTGGATAAAGCCTCTGCACTACTGTGTACAGAGCAGGGCTTTGAGCCCTTTATTTGTATGTGGTGTGGAGATCATGCAACCATTCTGCCCTTTTTGACTCCTGACATAGTGACAGACCCAGTAGGGGAGTATATGATATGGCTGGGGATCTGCACAGGAGCTTCGAGACACTAGTATACTTTATATTCAAATGCTTACACTCCATGTTCACACCCAGATAAAATCTGCAATATTGGCTTTGGTTGGAGTACCCATTTAAAAATGTAGGCAATATTTTGTCTGCCATCACTTTTTTTTATATATAGTTATCCGTAGCTGTAACTGGCTTTATTCTCACTGTTCCATATGCAGCAGTTTCTGCATTACTCCTCTCAATACTATGGTTGCTCAGCACACTGGGCACAGCAGTATTTCAAGCCTGTTTGTGAATGTAAAGGTCTCATACAGTTTAGCCTTCATTGTCTCCAGTCTGTTGTCTAAGCTGAAACAAGAGTTGCCTTCTTTCTGTGAAACGTCAGTGATCTTCATTAGAGAAACAGACTGTTCAGTTATTTTTTTATCATGCCTTAACTATCCTTGATAAAAGTGAGCTTCCAAAAGACTATTCTCAATTTTTACCAAAGTCACTTGCCAAATACTTTGCCTTTGCAGCTTTCTAGCTTTACTAGCAGTGAGTCCAGCAACACTTTGGCCATCAGTGTCTTACTGGCTCCTGTGCCATTGAATTTACTGTGAGGAGTAGCGTAATGAGCACATAATATACACTAAACCTGTCTTCAGAGCAATATTGGGGATCTGCTATACCTAACCACCTACTGAAAATACTAGGCTGTTAAAATCATCCAATGCTTTCAGACACTTTAAATCATTTAATCTTGAAAGAACACAAAATAGGAAAGTCTGAGAAGAATTGTATAAAATCTCTGCATACGTGTTTGAGTTGGTAACCTAAAGCATTATTTATTTGTAATACTTTCTTTTTTAAATGTGTTACACTTGCCTGTGCAGTGGTTTTGCACAGAGTAGCCCCGATCCTCCTCTTCTCAGGTCCCCTGCTGAGGCTCCTAGCCCCTTCATTTTGATGTGCCACCATCAAGAAGCCCCTTCCTAGGAGAGCATACCTGTATGCTCACTCCTGAGCCGGCTCTTTGTGTAAGACACACAAAAAATGCTGCTCAGCCCCACCCCCCACCCCACACTCCTTCCTCACCGGTGGCAGCAGTCAAGGGATCTCTCTACACCCCCACCCCCCCCCCTCTGCTCCTCCCACACGGTCACGTGATTTATTCACAGATTTCTGTGATTGTATGCCTGCAAATACTGTCTGCGGCTGAAGTTTGTAGTTCTCAATGAACCGCGTGGGTGCTGGTGAGTGCTTTTGTAGTCCACTGAGCTTCCTGTCATTCGGAGCTGCCTGCCTATAACGGAGGTACAGGCAGACAGCTACTCTGACAGCCTGCAGGAGCCTGACGTTGCCTCCACAATCTGCTGATCATGGGTGCAGTGCTTTACTGGCTTCGAAGAAAAAAAAGAATTAGTGAATGCACATTTTTTTTTACCTGCAAAAAGTGTATTTATTTTTTTTAAAAATGGACTTCTCCTTTTTAAATGCTTGCTTAAGTCTAAGGGAACAAGAACAGCAATTTTACTTACTGTCTTCCTTGCTGTAAGCATGATTCCCCCCCCAAAGCTTCTTCTCTCCTTTGCTCTGTCAGTTGCGGGTCCTCTGATGACATCAATACCAATGCAGAGCATGTAGCCCTCATTGGAGCACCATGGAACAGTCCAGTGCTGGAGAGTAGGGGAGCATGGGCTGCTGGGGAAACTGGGATCAGATCAGTAAAACTGCTTTTCCTGTCCCTTAGACATAAAAGAGCATTTTTGTTTAACCCTCGCATTGTGGGGGCATTCCCACTGCAAGGAGTAGTATTTGTTTTTTCTAATCATTCACTGGAGTTTGGGCTCTAAAGGGATGCCTCTAGCAGCCAAGGCTCCCATCTAGTGTTGGAGGCAGCTATTGGCTAACTCAGAAGCAAGGCTACTTCTGGGGTAGAACAAAAGAGATATTACCACTCCACAACTAGTCCTCCTTTTTGGCATCAAGGCTGTGGCAAACGTCTGTGCTGAAGAGGATTTGCAGCTATGACAAAAAACCATCCTGACTGGTGCCCTTTAACTCATTAGACAATACTGCCTGCTCCAGTCTAATCTGGTTCACATATGTATGAAAAACCGTGTTTCAGAGATGTGAGAAAAGTAATGAGGTTGCAATAAATTGTATGGCAGCATACCTGTGAAATCAAGCTTCTATCTGTTCTTTGTTTATGGAAACGAAGTCTATTAAGTCTTGCATATGGTGAATGGAACCCAGATGGAAGTTAAATGTTTTTGTACAGAAGTTCCAATCCTTACAATAAGGCTACTCTATTGTCATTGTAGCCAATGGAACTGGAGGTTCTATTCGTGTCCCACCATAATATGAATGCTAAGAACCGTTCTCACCGAAGACTAATTTGGTAACACAACTTGCCCAAATGTCATAGCAGAAATGTGTTTTTCTCATGTATTTCTACAGATTGTATTTATTTTCTTATTCCTTACATTGCTGCATGTCCAATGTTGTATCTCGGTCTTGATTTACAAAGTGCATTCCCAGTAATGGTGAATGAGATGTTTTTTCTATTTGGAGGCAGCATGTATTTATGGAACCAATGTGGGCATCCTGATAGTGGCCACAAACACAGAAGACACTATCCGTAGGATTAAAATACACTAATTGTTGCGGCCCACTGGATTTCAGAACTTATAGCTTCTGAGGGTGAACGCAATATGATGTAACAGAATGTAAAAAAAATATTTTTGATAAAATTGTATATTTTATAATCAGAACACTAATTGTAGCTGTACCTCAACGTTTGATGTTCTGCCTTTTTACTAACTGGGGGTTCAGCAGATTCGTAGACCCTCTTTAAAGTAAAGAGATGAAGTTTTTTGTATTTTTTGTTTACTAGAGGCCAGAAGCTAGTAAATCTGTTCTGTGTATGTCTAGGGCCCTGTCTTGTATTTCCTTGGTCTGTCTGGGCTGTATATAGAAGAGATGATGGAGCACCAAAAGTACCTCAGGCTTATTACTCATATCTGCACATTAAAAGGTATCATTACTACACATTGAAGCAGCCCATTTGTGTTGGGGATCTTGGCTGACGTGCAGGCTATTTGTGTAGATATGAATGATCCTAGATTTAGTCATAATTTTCACTATGATGAAAAATAGTTCTGGCTGAATTTGACAGGATTGTCCACCAGGGCCAATTAATTTCTGAAAAATGTTTTTATCAAATTGATTGTATTGAATAACTTTACAATCCTTTATGAACTGCATAATGCTGCAGCCCATTGCCTGCACTACGCTGCTTCTTACTAACATGGCAAGTGGTTCCTTGGCTCTGCTTCTTACTGCATA